TGCTGACTCGAATGCCTACAACCAACATGTGACCATTTTCATCTAAACCCCGAAATACCCAAGATTCCCTCAACGTCAAACATGGTCAAAGTCAAAGTCAACAGTCAAGGTCAATAGTCCATGTTAATCCAACTCATCGAGTGCACTTAGAAACTCGACGAGTTTCCATAGAACTCAGAAATTCGGGAAAACCCTAGCCAACTCATTGAGTTGGCTACACAACTCGACGAGTTTTCCCCCTGTTAAACATTTGGATGATCCTTCAATTCCAGGGACTCTAAGACTCAGATCAAAACTCCATATGTGTCTTAAAGGATAAAGTTTCCAACTTTATCCTTTGGGACAACCCCAAAAGCGCAATAGCTCTTATCCTAGGCTTGAAACTTAAAGGCTTAAACATTAAGCCCAAAACCCTAGAGACCTGGGACCTATCCTTTCCAGAAGAGGTTCTCACTTTAAAAGCATCCCAAAGATTGATGCTTTATAGACATGCATGTCCAATGCATGTGTTGAACCCAAAATGGGACAAAAGGGGAAAATATGCCCTAAAATCCATGCATGGAATCAAAGCTTGAACAAAACCCAAATCTAACCCACTGTGAGGCCATCTTTCCCTGGAGATTCATAAAGTTACAACCTTTATGAAGCTCATGCATGCGACAACCAAAAATAAAGAGGAAAAAGGGAAAAACTTAATATCTAGCTACACATATAGATATAAATCGGATCTTGAATACTTACAACAGTCTACAAGAGTGCCAAGCTGGTAACTAAAGACTTTGTTTGCTAGATCCTTACTCCTTTCACACAATCTTCTCATTCTTTGCTCCAAAATACCACACTAACTCACAATATGAAGAGAAATGAAGATTATGGCTCACATGGTTGATATTAGGGTTTGGGAGGCTGATAAGAGATCAACCTCAAAGAATTATGGATGTTATAGGGTGCAAACTCTAAAATTTAGGGTTAGCCGCCAACTCTACCTTACCAAGTCGGCGAGTTGGTCCAAAAAAAGTTTGTGGCCTAAAAGCTTTCTACACGTCGAGTTGAGGCCATCAACTTGACGAGTTCCAAGGGGATTTTTCTTTTCAAGAAATAAATCATTTACATGGAAGTTGGGATGTTACAATTCTGGACTTTGAAAAAAATTATGAAATTCAAGAACAAGTCCATAACCCGATGAACAATTATAGAAATTCGAAAAAAATTGTTTTTCTCTTAAATCTAGCAAAAATGTTAAATAAAAAAAGTAAATATTATATATATATATATATATACACACACACACACAGAGAATTAGGTTCTATGGAAAACAAAAAAAAAACCCTAAAAACCTTAAAAATACATAAAAAATTCTTTGAGATCAAAAATATTTTTTTATTTTTTTATTTTACATTACTAAAAAATACAACTTTTTTATATATTTTTTATTTTTATAAATTCACTGAAAAAAATTAAAAAAAAAACGATTATTTTTTCTTTATTAAAAAAAATCTGTGAATTTATAAAAAATGTTGCGATTTTGAACAATATAAATAAAAAAAGCTTTGATCTTAGAGTCCTAAAACCTAATCCTCAAAACCCTAGAGCATTTTGGGAAACCCTAAATCCGGGTCTTTATATCTTATTTAAGCTTCTTATTCTCCTTCCATCAGCCTCATCTACAGTCTCTAAGTCCTAAACCCTAATCCACGAAACCCTAGAGCATTTTGGGAATGTGTGAGCCATCCTTGAGTGGTTTGTGTGTTCTTGAACCCTAGAAGAAGAAGAAGGAGCTTGAAGGTTCATGGAGAAGGTTATATATCCAGGGATTTCGTTCAATTCTCATCACTTTATGGTAATCAAGCTCTTAACTTGCCTTGTAGTTCCTTAGATCTCTTTATGGTCACTTTTATGGGGAGTTTTTGTCCAAGAAGTGTGATTTATGAGTCATTGATGTCCCAAGTTGATTATACTTTCAGATCCGGAGTCATTAAAGGTTGTAAAGGCATAAAGGTGCAAAGTTTATGCCATTGGAGTCCCATGAAAACCCTAAGGATGTTGTTATGGCCTTTTAAGCCCCAAAGGGCCATGAATGGAAGTAAAGTTTCAGGCGTTATGAGGTTGGTGGGTGTGTAGGGCCTAGATCTTGGTTCTACTACCTCAGGTAGGAGTAATAAGGATTTTGGATAAAGAATTATGTCTTAAGGAGCTAGGATTTGAGTTAAATGCATTAAGAAAGATTAGGAGTGGGTAAAGTTGGAAACTTTAACCTGAAGAGGTCATTTCCAGTTTGTGGACGAAGTTTGGGACTTAGATCTTAAGTGCAGGGGCTTAATCTATTAAGATAGCCCAAGCAGACTAAGGGACTCGACGAGTCCAGGGAGGGACCCGACAAGTTGAAGTGAGTTGTCCCGATTTTTTTAGCGGTAGAACTCGATGAGTCAGGGGAATGACTCGATGAGTTAATTCGATAAATCACGACCATGAGTAGCCAGGGAACTCTGCGAGTCAGGGGTTGACTCGACGAGTTGGATCACGATTTCAGGATTTTGAGTTTTAGAACTCAACGAGTTGATGGAGCAACTCGACGAGTTGAGTCAACGTGAAACGTTGACTTCGACCATTAACTTTGACATTGACCAAGGTTGACATAGTTTGACATGTCAGGGCAATTTCGGACGAAGTGTTATTTTGGTACCGATAGCTCGGGAAGTCAAGTGATCAGCAGTTCGGGGATTTGCTAGCTAGCAGCAAGAGGTTTATTCGCAGGATTTTGCAGTCAGTGTATGAGGTGAGTTTTCTCCAGGAGGAGCGAGTCGAAGGCACCAATGCTGGCCCGTTTACATATGTTAGTATATACCGGATTTAGATCCGATGTCGGGGTTAGCCAGATGTAGATTATATGTTTTCAGACTTCGGTCCGATGCTAGGAAAAGCTCGATATATGTTAGTTTATATGTTATGTGTTATGTGTTCCGGGCTTCCGTCCGATGTTGGGGCAAGCCCGATGTAGATTGCATGTTCCGGACTTCGGTCTGATGTCGGGGCAAGCCCGAGGAAGGTCTAAGATTTTCGGACTTCGGTTCGATGTCGGGTGGTACTCGAGGAAGGAATGCATGTTTAGTTATAATTTTTATCTTTGTGATACGTGTATGTGCTTGGTAAGGAGATGAGTGTGGGCAGGGACCCGTATCTCATCACTAGCTGAGTGTGGACGGGGTTCCATATCTCATTAGTAGTAGAGTAGGGGTGAGGCCCAAGATAGGTGGGGACTTGAGACTAGCAATTATAACATTGTGTCTGATTGTTATGTACTAGCATGATTATGATTATATGTTTGTATGTGTTTAGCGGGCGGGGCCCAGAGACAGGCAGGCCTAGTAGAAATAGATTTGTATCCCGAGCGGGGCTCAATGCCAGGCGAGGCATGATGCCGGATTCGTCTGATGTCTGGCACAGCCCGACGAAGTGAGTAGGACAAATGTTTGTAGTATGTGATTATGAGTATGATATGTGGTAGTTTGGAGAGACTCACTAAGCTTCATACTTACCATTTCAGTTTTGGTTCCAAGTACTTCCAGTTGCAAAGAAAAGAACTCGGGATGACTGCATTGCACACATCAAAACGTTTAGCCTGAGATGTTTACTCTGATATTTTGTTACATAGTTTTGATACAACATTTTGATATAATTAACATGGATATACTGTTTTGAATATGAGATATTATGGTTTTGTTTTAGACATATGTTTTTCAGAAATTCTGGTTTAATTAAGGATTTGAAAATAAAAATGTTGGACCGTATTTTTGGGATGTTTCATAACGTCTCTGAAGAATGGGTATGAACAATTTTTAAAGAGATTTTTTTGGGATTTTTATGTATTTACCCATTCTTCAGAGACATTAAACGATCTCTAGAGGTGTTCACAAGATTCGCCGAGATACCTCCGAAGAACCATTAGAACCCCAATTTTTTTTTTTTTTGTCTTTTAGTGATGTTATGTTATTTCTGCAATAATATGCGTCGTTCTTCAAAGGATTACAGAAATCCACATAACCCCCTCTGCGGATCTCATGATCATTTTCTAAAACTTAAAATTTTATAGTTATTTGCTGAAAACACCCCATAATTTTTGGTTATTTCATTAATTTTCTTTCTCTCTCTTTATTTATATATATATATATATATATATATATATATATATACACACACACACATTGACAAACGGTAACATTTAAAACTCCAAATGGCCATTTTGGATATAAGTAGTGATATTTCTTTGGAAAAAAACCAAAAAATAATTCTGAAATTTGAAGTGCAAATCCAAAATGGAGCGTTCGAGAGTATATGGGCATTTTAAAAAAATAAAAAAATTATGATTTTTATAAAAAAAAAAATCATTTATAATGGTTATACTCGATGTTTTAAAATGTTCGTCATAATTTCAAAGTGTCTATTTGTCGTCATGCTTTTACAAAATACTGCATTAAGTTTTATATGTATATCAAAAAGAATTATAATAGATTATATATACATATTATTATCAATTATATATAAAATACAAACCATGTGCAGGTCATGGTTCGATAAAGCTTGAAGTTTGAGATTGTTTTCAAGTCACGTATAGTTGGTTATACTCAATTTCCATAAATATAATGTATCCATCACTAATCTTTTCTTAATCTTAATTTTCTTGATTAAATATCATCACCAATTAATCGGTCATTGAAGGGCTATAACAACTTTCCCATTAAATCGTTTGCATTGCTAATACTCATTTCCAAGTAGTGATTTCACTTCATGACAACATATACTAATCAGTAGGCTAAGGAATTTTATAAATAAAAGCACCCATGGAAACACGGTTTATACTTTGAAAGCACCAGGAGAACAATATAGATATTGTCATGTCCTGAAACCCTACGTTATATGGATACAAAATGAACACTAAGGAGTAATAAAAATAGGAACAAACAATATAAAACGTTCACAGAAGATTTAAATTACTAGATACATCAACGAAAATGTAAATAGGAATTAGTTAAGGGCTTGAAGATGTGAGATGCCTTATGGTCAATGAGGTCCAAATGTTTTTGTTTGAGATGCGTGTAGACAATCCAATCTCCATTATGCCTCGCACTCGGCATTGTAGTTATATATCCAGTTTGACCCCCCCATGGGAAATGGTAAGATCCAAAGATTGGCTTTCCCAATCCAAAGTCCATATTTTTAATCGGTAAACCTTGTCCTGACGACACAACTATTGCATCCCCATCAGTCTCTTTTAGCTTGAAATAAACCCTTGCAACTGCTGGCTCTGGCCTATGCAACTCTACCCAATCAACCAATCCCCTGAAATGTTCTTCATTTGTTGTCTTCTTCACAAACTCATGAACCTTATTTGCGACTTCATTAGGTGCCATTTCCTGGAGTTGGCGATTGTTTTCCTCGCCATATGGTATAGATAATATGTTCCCAAAATGGTTCTTTAACATATACGATTCTTCCTCACTATTTCCACTCAGGAAATGTCGTCCACTAACGACAACACCCACTCTAGATGTTTTGTTTACATCATCATCGACTTGTTGAGCTAATAGCTTCCATATATACGCTGTAAAAGACTGAACTTTGCTTCTTCTAATGTCTTTTGTACTGGCTTGTGATTGAAGGTTTTTAACTGATTCTGAATGAATGTAGTAGATACGACTACAAAGTTCGTCATCACACGAAGGTGTTGGAGGAGGCAATGACGATATGGGAATATACAGATCATCAAAGGTTGTGTCGTAATGTGGTGGGCGTCTTGGGTTGAGAATTGATGATCGAAAAGATGGGATGTTTGAAATTTTATTGAATTGGGTTAAGTCAACCCATGCAGCCAAGAACATGTTTAAAGAATCGCCGTCAGTGAAACGGTGATCGAAAGCACATGATAATATTATTGCTCCACATTTCAACTCTGTGACCTGTTTTATTCAAAAAATATAATTAAGATGATATTACCAACTGATACGAATATATAAAAATTCTTTGTGATCAAAGGTATGTTTTTTTTATAAGAATGCCAGATAGATGTTGCTGTATCTAGCAATCTACACAGAGTTTTGATATCAATCATATGTACCTGATACCTGTTTAAACTTGCGAATATTTTTTCCTTGCCAGTTTGCTAAAGTTGCAGAAACCAATTTAAATTTTCTCGTTATATTTTATCTGTATATTGCCGATTGTATATTTTGTATTCTACTTTATTAAATATATTGATGGGAGACAAAATCTTTCATGTTTTGTTTTGTTTTATGCCACCTTTGAAAATTTTGTCCTACTTTATTGATTCTAAAGATATAGTTAAAGTGCGTTTGTTTTGAAAAAAAAAATCATAAAAAAGAATAAGAGACAATACAAAAGCTAAAAGGTTAGGTATTTAAAAATTAATATAAGGAATAAATATTTCACGACCTCATCTATGCATAATTTTAATCATCGTAAAACTAATAAAAGAATCGTACTTCTATTATTAGTACTATAAATAAATACAAATACAACTCGATCGATCTCACGCTTATTCTTGTAAATTCTTGATATGAACTAAAGTCGAATAACGTAATAAAAATTAGAAAGAAAAATGATTTGGAATGGAAACTATACTATGTAATTATAAAATAAGGGAAAACATTTTAATAAAAGAAAACTAGAAAAATAATACTTGACATACTAATAATAGAGGTTAATTTAAACTATTCCCTTTGCGTAATTGCGTACGTTAGATTCATCATATATATATATATATATATATATATATATATATTATATATATATATATATATATATATATATATATATATTATATATATATATATATATATATATATATAATATATATATATATATTGACAACATTTGTATTTTAATCCATTAATTTATTACATCATACTTGGAAGTACGTTACCAAAGTAA